TCAAGTGACATAGCAAGCCACTTGTGTGTTACCAGTGAGAAATTTAACAATGAGCTTGTAAGCAGCCCTGTGCTTATGAAAGGCTTGAGTTGTTACAAAGAGGATGTATGATATTCTCTCCATGACTCCCTTTCTCTGCTTTATAGTGCATTCATATAGTACTGGAAGGGAGGAAATATCAGAGAACAAATACACCATCCCTCAACAGGAATGTCTTTGATACAATATTTCTCCCATTCTTGGGTAACGCAGTGTAGTTGTAGAATGTTGGTGCCAGGATATTAGAGAGAGACAGACGAGGTGGGTGATGTAATATCTTTTACTGGACCAATTTCTGTTGGTGAGAGAGACAAGCTTTCAAGCCACATGGAACTCTTCTAAAGTCTTCTTTGTTCATGCTAGTGTAATGGTTTGATGGTCCACAAAAGCCTTTTCACAATTATCTGATTCTCATTTGTAAATTCATCAAAACATTTTTCATTGTCTTCAGAAAAACCTACTTCTTTACTTCACACAGCTGTTTAACCTAAGCCTTAAAAGTACTAAAGACAAACCTGTCCTTTGAAGATGACAAGTCACTTCTCAGTTCCTTGACAGAATCAGCATCAAAAATCTCCTGAGCGGAAAATCAAGTATCAGCTGTAAGACAGCCTTGCTTTGCTCAGGCAAAAAATACTGTATATTTTTCACAGAATTGCTGTTTGTGGTCTTTGTCAAGCTCTTTGCATAATTCAGAGTAAGACAGATCTGTGAATTGCTGGAAGGTGCTACTGCAATTCAATTCTCCCCATGAAGTCCTGACTTGCTTGAAGGAATGGGATAAATCAGAGATCAAATAAAAAAGCTTTGGTATGCATCTAGATTGTTTTTAGCAAAAATAAACCATTGCATTGCAGTTTACTGTACTCTGCACAGTTCTTTTCTTAGCAGTTAGATATGAAAGTAAGTCTGGCCTGGGTTACATAAGCTATATGGATGGGAAATGTAATATTTCTTGTTAGATCAACTCCTGGTGGTGAGAGAGAGATACTTTTAAGGTTACATGGAGCTTGAAAGCTTTTCTCTCTCACCAAGAAAAGTTGGTCCAATAAAAGATATTACTTCACCCACATTGACTCTTTAATATCCTGGCACCAACACGGCTACAGCACTGCAAATAAGCTATATGGGTGTCAGCAGTACAACGCTGCAACTCGTTTTGAAATCCGAGTAGGCATTGGTGTTGAAGGAATGAGGCAGGTTCTCGAACTGGAATGATTAGCATTAAAGGTCATGTTTTTAGCTTAGTAAGACAAGTCCTACATACACTACCTCCTATACTGAAGGCACTTAAGACTGTACTAGATGGAAGAATGGGCTTTAAATAAAGGGAGAAAGGCTGAAATGAAAAGTTAAATATTAAATAAAATAGATAAAGAATGTGATGAGGGAAAGGATTTGAAACACACTTTCCCCCCAACTAACTGCCTAACATTAATTACTCAATATGGAATGAATAGAGAAGCCATAAATTAACACATCATTAATACACAACTATTTAAGGAAATGTAAGAACATAAGAATGGCCATACTGGGTCAGACCAAAGGTCCATCTAGCCCAGTATCCTGTTTGCTGACAGTGGCCAATAACAGATGCCCCAAAGGGAGGGAACACAACAGGTGCTCTCACGTGATCCCTCCCGTCACCCATTTCCAAACAAACAGAGACTAGGGATGCCATTCCTACCCATTCTGGCTAATAGCCATTGATGGACCTAATCTCCATGAATCTATCTAGCTCTTTTTTGAACCCTGATAAAGTCCTAGCCTTCACCACATCCTCTGGCAAGGAGTTCCAGAGGTTGAATGTGAGCTGAGTGAAGAAAAAACTTCCTTTTGTTTGTTTTGAACTTGCTGCCTATTAATTTCATTTGGTGACCCCTAGTTCTTATATTGTGGGAATAAGTACATAACTTGTCCTTATTCACTTTTTTGACACCAGTCATGATTTTATATACCTCTAACATATCCCCCTTAGTCTCCTCTTTCCTAAGCTAATTTGTGGCATTCCCCACAAGAACCAGCATAAAATAAAACCTTACAACAAATGTAAGGTTAGAAATGTTATAAAAACACTGCCTGTGCATCGGTAGTAATCTATACCAAAGCTATGCATTTTTCCCCATAACTTTCTCCTTTATTTCAAACTCTCTAATTCCTTAAATCAGTTTGTTCCAGGACAGCCTATACTGATTCCAATCAACATCTTGCCCATCTGTAGTCCCTTATGAGTACATGCTGGCACGCCATAAAATAATGATGCATATCCCTTCTTCGTGTTCATGACAAGATTTGGAAATCCCAAATATTTCCAAGGGATAGTGATAGAAATGTAGCCGTGTTAGTCTGGTGTAGCTGAAGCAAAATGCAGGACTATGTAGCACTTTAAAGACTAACAAGATGGTTTATTAGATGATGAGCTTTTGTGGGCCAGACCCACTTCTTCAGATCAAATAGTGGAAGAAAATAGTCACAACCATATATACCAAAGAACACAATTAAAAAAAACCACACACACATGAAAAAGAAATCAAATTTCAGAACAGAAGGGGGATGCAGGGGGGGGGGGGGGGGGGGGGGGGAAGAGAAGGTAAATGTCTGTGAGCTAATGATATTAGAGGTGATAATTGGGGAAGTTATCTTTGTAATGGGTAAGATAACTAGAGTCTTTGTTGAGACCCCCGCGCAAAGTGTTGAATTTTAGCATGAATATCAGTTCAGAGGATTCCCTTTCAAGTGCAGTTTTAAAAGGCTTTTGAAGCAGGATGCAGGTAAGTCGTTGAGACAATGTCCTTTCTGGTTGAAATGGCAAGAAATGGCAAGAAACTGTTTTTTCTTTGTGATCCTGTCTAATATCTGTTTTGTGGGCATTGATCCTTTGGCGAAGTGTCTGAGACGTTTGTCCAATGTACATAGCAGACGGACACTTTCAGCACATGATAGCATAAATCATATTTCTGGATGCGCAGGAATATGTGTTCTTGATCCTATAACTCACTTGGTTAGGTCCAATAATGGTGTCAGCAGAGTGAATATGTGGACAAAGCTGGCAATGGGGTCTGTTGCAACGGAAGGTACCAGGGTTGGTATTAGTGTGGTATGTCCTGTGGTTGTTGGTAAGAATCATCTTGAGGTTAGGTGGTTGTCTATAGGAGACTATGGGTCTGTCTCCCAGAGCCTCTTGGAGTTTGGTATCCTGTTCCAGTATAGGCTGTAGTTTATTGATAATGTGTTGGACAGGTTTAAGTTGGGGGTAGTAGGTGATGACAAGTGGTGTTCTATTGTTGATTTTCTTGGGTCTGTCTTGAAGTAGATGGTTTCTAGGTACAGTATTCGTCTGGCTCTTTCAATTTGCTGTTTTATTTCTCCAGGTGGGTAGTTGAGGTTTATAAACGCTTGGTAGAGATCCTGAAGTTTCTGGTCTCTGTCAGTGGGATTAGAGCAGATGTGGTTGTATCGAAGGGCTTGGCTATAGATGATGGATCGTATGGTGTGTTCTGGATGGGAGCTGGAAGCATGTAGATAACTGTAGGAGTCAGTGGGTTTTCTGTAGAAAGTGGTGTCTACACTAATACCAACCCTGGTACCTTCCCTTGCGACAAACCCCGTTTTGTTTTAGAATTTGGTAAACCTCATTCTACAAGGAGTAATGCCAAATTCGAAATAGCTAATTTGAAATAAGCACTGTGTAGATGCTTATTCCAAAATAGGGGGCCTCCAGCCCTTCCCACTTTCCCCTGGTGGCCACTCTGGGCCAAACCAGGAAAACTCTTCTCCTCTCCCCCAGGCACAGAGCCCTTAACTGGGTAGACTCTAGCCACAGTGTATGCCAAAGCCAGGCCTGCCAGCAGTCGCTGCCCCTCACCCAGTGTCTCCCTCTCTTCCACTCTTTTTCTGCCTAAATACTTCAATTTATTTATCAGGTCCCTGACTGATTTCTAACTGCAGCTTACTGTTTATGTATGCAGTGTGGTTGTAACTATTTCACCCCCAGCCTATTAGAGAGACAAGCTGGGTGAAGTAAATCTTTCATTGGGCCAGCTTCTGTTGGGGGGAGGGGGAGGGAGAGGGAGGGGGGGAGAGAGAGAGAGAGAGAGAGAGAGATGTTGCTGGAGTTACAGGGTACATCTACACGGCAGGGCAAAAGTTGAATTAAGCTAACCAACTTTAGCTATGTCAATTGAGTAGATGAAATCAAAATAGCTTTTCATTTGACTTCCCTTACTCCTCATGAAATGAGGGTTATAGGAGTCAGAGTAAGAAGTACTCCAGCTCAACATTATTTTGAAATAACGCTGCTGTATAGACATAGCTACAGAGACTTTAAGAACTGCGTTATTTCCTCGCCCACCTTGTCGTTCATATATTTTATAGCATATACTTTCTGTAGTTTAGCATTATTTAATTATGTAAAGCAGTGAGGATTGTGTACAATACAGTACAACTCTATATGCATTCCTAATACATATCCATAATGAATAAATGCTCCAACGTGAACTCCTGTTGCAAGTGGAGGGTTGGGACATATCCCATTCCAAATAACTTTCCCTAGATTTCTCTGATTTGACCTATGAAGTTATAAGGAATTAATGGCCTTGATACAGGTATAAAGACAGAATGATAAAACTGATCCTGCCTTCTTAGCACTTGTAAAGCTAACTGTGGCTTCAAAATGCTTTGAGACAACATATTTGATTTGAAAAAGATGAAATAAAAGTTCAGCTAATCCTTTAATTTGGATCATTGTTCTTCTGCTGCTAGTTTCTGGCATCCAAGTGCAGAACACAAGGAATGTAAGACTGGGGTTATTAGCTGAGTAGAATAGATGAGATCCTCAATTGGTGGAAACTGAAACTAGTATAGAAGTTAGAAGAGCTCTACAGATTTACACAAAATGTGGATCTGAGCCCCCTTTCCTCCCCCCAAAATCTGACTTCTGAAGAACAGAAATGCACAGCATATGAAGAAGCTTTTTGTCATGTGAACGTAATATAAATACATTCCATTCGGAAAACTCAGCACATTCTGATTAAATAAGATATTTGTCCAGTCTGAGTCAATAACATTAACTATTGCACATAAAAAGAAATTTTAAATTTTCCCCAGGAAAAAAGCACATTTATCATCAATGACCAAAAAAATGAACATGTCACTAAGATTAAAATCGCTTTTGTTAGGAAAAAAAATTCAGAGCCCTGCCTTCACTAGTATTAGCAAAATGCCTAAAAGGAAGAGTGAATACCAATAGAAACACGATGAATAAAGTTGAGGGTTGATCAGCTCTTTGATCTTTCCGTCTTAAAATCAAATCTGTGCACAGTGATTATCTTTTTTATTGGCCTGCTATAGCTCTTGTGCCTATGCAGAATGGCTTTAAGAGTCTAGTACCATGTTCCTTTCTCAGGCAAAGCTTTCATTAAAGTCAACAGTTTTTACATAAGTAAGGGTTACAGAACTGACCTGAAGGCTAGATGTATGAACAAACCTTTTGAGTATTTTTACTGAAATATGACTTTTTAAATATAAACTAAACTAAGCAGGCAGAAGATCATCATATATAGAAACAATTTAATGACTACCTTGACTTTTTCCAAGTAGAATGCTTCTATTGTAGGAATTATATCCATGGACATCAGTAAATTAGCTCTTTCCACTCAGAGCTGCTGAAAGAATGGTTTGCTTAAGAAGATTAGTCCTTCCAATGCTCAGAAGTAATACTGACAAATGAGCCTAAAATTACTATAGATTAACTCAATTAACACCATCTTCTGAACATTCTTAAAATGGTAGGCCTTTCTTTGAAAAATCTTTTAATCGAACCTTTTGTGTGTCCCTTCAAATCAAGTAGCAGCTATTAACACACATTTTCCACATTTAAAATTTCATTTGTTGTGTTGATGCCAGTAAAAACTGATGATCCTGAAAACTATTCTGAACCAAGCAGTGTGAGAAAATTGAAGCATTTTGTAATTTACATATCCATTCTCTCTCAAAAAAAATGGCCAAAATAGATCTCGTCCACTAGTTGTTTTAAAGACACAGTGCCATCTACAGACTAACATATGCAACTCAACCTTTTGGGATAGTTCATTCACCAAATTCCCCTTCTTCCTGAATCCAGCTTTCATTATGTGGCGTAAAGATTGTGCAAATATCACTGGTTAAAAGCCAGACTTGTGACTTTTAGCTCCCCTCAATAATTATGACATTATATATAGTTTAGTATTGTTTGGCTCCAATGTAGTCAGGACTATAAATTTAATTTTAAAAAACAAAGTAATAAAACCCCAAGTTACTCATTAATTCTCTCTGAACTTCCTGACTTTCAATTGTACACTACACATGATGAACAAGATTAGCTTTCCCTATTTTACAGACAACATATGTAAAATATCTCCATTTATTATATTACTCCTGTAACTTTTTTTTTTTTTTTTTTTTTTTTTTTAAACAGTGAACATTCTAGAGGTCACATTTCATTATTTCTCTCAGACAAACAGTTGCATAACATGAAGGATCAAGGTCAAATGACAAAAGAAGAGATGCTTTTGATTCATTTAGATGACTGTCTTCTTCCGTTTTGATTCCCTTTACACCGTCTTCTAAGAAATGATAGGACAGATTGTGGATATATTTCAAAATGTTTCTGTAGCATCCAGGTGTGTTCAACTGTAACACAGGGACCCTGAACCTACATGTCTGCAGTCCATCCTTGGCAAGCCTTTCCTGGTACCATTGACCAACTTCATTATTGGGATACTTGATACTGTGTCCAACCATTGGAAGAACCACCTTAAGGAAAACAGAAAAGATGTGAATTCCAAATGTGTTTAAACTAAAACCACCACCATCCCCTTTAGAATAATGTAATTCCTTTAAGTTTTGGGGTCAGATTCTGCCAAAAAAAATGTGACTTTGCTTCCACTCTATGAAAGTCCAAGCATTGCTATGAAGACAGTTATTGGAGGCTTAAAATGAAAGGCACAGAAGCCAGTCAAAATGTCAGTACTCTAAAACCACAGTATACATACAAACTGATTGTTTTCTGGATTGTTCTGAGATACAGAAATAGAGAATATGTTAGTTTTCTTTATGTGTGTCCTAACCCTTGTATCTTCAGCCTTTCTGTACCCTGACTTTCAAATACTCTTGAACATTTCTCTGAGCATTGGGGGATTGAAATAAAATGATGTTTCAAGGAAATTAGAATTAGTCATTTGCTAACACTCAACTGACAGTAATAGTGCACAAAAAACATATGAAACCAAAATAACATTGGCCTTTCTGTTCAGTACATGAGTGAAGACTTTCATTTCTGTGTTTTCTGTGAGTCCAGATTAATTTGTATCCCCATTTTCCATGAAGATGCATTCTGAAGAGAAATAAATTTGTACCTGTAAGTCAATCAGATCTATTTTTAAAACAAAAGTGATCATCAACAACTCAAACCCATGAAACATGATTTTTCACACAAACTTACTTGGCTTAGGGCATATTTGTTAGCTGACTCTTCCAGAGCAGTTACTAAGTGAACCTGGTATAAAATGTTAAAAAAATACATATAACTTGACAAACAGTAGCAAAAACTAGATTATGAACCAATCATTTATTTGTATTATTATTCCCAACCTCTCTTGAAAATCAAGAATTCTAACCGTCTGATTACTCCAAGAAGAAATTATGTTTCACTCAACAAAAAATTAGAAGTATTTAACACAAAGTAATCATTTTATTAGAACAAAGCCTTGCATTAAATATAAAAATAAAACTGTTAATTACTGTTATGCATGAACCTACCATTATAGTTCTAATATGCTTGCCCATCTCAGTTTCAAGGTGCCAATGTAATTTCCTGCTAGAAGAGTGGTTTTCATGCTAAGTGTGAATGTTGCAGCATTAAACTCCATTGTTTAATATTAAATTTAATAGCTCAGCTTTTCATTGAAGTTGGCCTATTCCATTTATTAAATTCACTTTTTAAAACAGCATATTGGCAATATCATAATAACAATCAGAAGTTTCTGTTTTAGCACTCTGAAGCCTATTTACAGTGACCACTAAGCTGCTCTTACTCACAGAAACATTTACATGAAATTCACTCTTCAATTAAACAATCTGGGTGACATTCTGGCTATGTATGTGATGGTATGCACAAGGCAAATAAAAAATGTATAAAATAGTAATCACGTAACTGATCAAAATTCTATTGGTTACACAAATATGTTACCTGGGCATGTAGGGTTAGGGAGGGAAGGGTGCTGGAGAGCTTCCAGCTGATAGCTCTGAGGACTCCCAGCTGCAGCTGTCAATTCCATGGGCTTCCAGCCCCATGTTCCGTATCAGAGTTTAACCATTAACAGAAACCAATAAGCACCAGTTTATCAGTTAACTGGTTACACTCTTATGTCCCTATAATATGCACACAGTTACAATAGTGCATAAATGCTATACTGGTACTGCTATGCATGAGAAAGAGAGCTACCTTTTAGGTCCTCCATGACTAGATTCACAGAAGGATGCACAAGAAAATGGCCAAGAAGCATCATGTATGAGTGACCATTCAGGCCAAGTCTAGGTCTCTACAAACACCTTCATGCATTCCTACTCTTCCCGTGAATACACTACACAGTCAGGATGGAAAAAAACTTTTATGGTGTACACAGCAGGTATATCTATTTGTGTGGGAGTGGATGGAGGACTAAGTAACTCCACATTAGCAAAAGGTAAATAGTATTTGAATAGAGTAGTAAAAGGAGCAAAAGCGGGTTAGAATGCTGAGCTAAATATAAAAGGCAGTGCTCCTATCTCTTACGATTTTTAAGTGTGTTAAGATAGTTCTACATGAAATATTTTGTGAACTCATCATACTCACTCTGTCATTCACAGAAGAATTTTCATCAACATTTTCTCCAGCGAGCACCAGATCACCCTCCACTACTTTTGAACCATAGGTTATAAACCTAAAAGAAGCAGCTTCATTCCAAATTTTACTGCAATATGCATGAACATAGAATACACGCATGGAATGAGGAATGCTGAGCCATCCTCGAGTACAGCCCTCTTGGTTTATACCATAGCGATTCAAGGCACGAAGCAACATCTTCTCTCTCACTTTAAATTCGGGCAACATTCCCAGAGTTCCCTTTGCATCCTCTAAAATAAACAGAAAAAATATTGGAACAATCATCTGCTTTTCAGGCTTAGTCTGATGGAAAGTGAAGAACTTAAAAATAAAGGGATAAACTAAACCAGATTAGGAAAAAGATGTCACTCATTCGTTTATACTGTTTTTTATGGTTTTATTATTCCTTGCCTTCAACTTCTTATGTCAGATAAATTGCATCTTATCTGCCTTACAACCTATGCTAATTAATTCAATTTTCTGTAATTTATACTAATCATAAATTAAAGTCTGAGCAATTTAAAACAACCTTCTTCTTTACAGAACACCAAACACACAAAATAAAAGTAATGCAATTTAAATGAAAATCCAGGATTATAAGTGAGGTACAAAGTCTTGGCTACCAAATATTTGTAAGTTAACTTTCATGTGTTTAGGAAATGCTGAACTGTTATTGTGATATTTTCCTGTATGGTAGTTTAAATAAGTTGCCAAAACAAGTGAAACCGGTGTGATTATATTGCATTATTTTGACAAATAAAATATGCAGAACTTTGCAGGTTTTTGTGGTTTTGTCACAGAATTTTGGATTTCTGGTGCAAAATTTTGCATATTTTGGCACAGACCTCCACTAACAGTAGCATCTGTACCTCATGAAGTCACATACCCTAGTTTTTCTTGAAATATAGCTGATAACCCAAATTACAGACATGGGAGATTTGGAGTCAAGAGTGACTTCAAGATTCCTGACACTGGGATAAAACAACAAGGAATCTGGTGGCACCTTAAAGACTAACAATTTTAGTATGGCATAAGCTTTCATGAATTGCAACTCACTTCATCAGATGATGTCTGAATAGGGACTGGGAATGGCTCTCTCATTACAAACATCTGAAGAAGTGGGCTGGGCCCACGAAAGTTCATGATACCATCTACATGTTTTGTTAGTCTATAAAGTGCTACCAGACTATTTGTTGTTTTTTTAAGTTTATCCTGCACAGACTAACTTGGCTACTCCGTGAAGTTTTTTTTTCTCTCATTACAGTAAGTAATTTTCCACTTTAGGTATTTTCACCTTCTTATCCACATCCACTCTGACTGAATTAGCTCTGATATAACACTCCCATTTCTGTATTCCTACTCTCTGTTTATTTTCCTTTCACTTCATGCATTTGAGTGCAACTCACGAAAGCTTATGCCATAATAAAATTGTTAATCTGTAAGGTGCCACCTGACTCTGTTGTTTTTGATGAAGCAGACTAACACGGCTACTTCTGAAAACTGGAATAAAAGTGATGGTCTGAAGAATGGCAACAGAAAGAGATGTGACAAACAAGGCATTTTACTTAGAATATTAATATTAGATTTTGAAAATATGTTTCAGTGAAGAATGATACTCAAGACAGGAAGTAGGTCAATCAGAATGAGAGAGGGGGGTGGTGATAAATGCAGAGTTTAGTCAGTTACACAGAGGTAAAGGCCAGAGTTGTAAAATAAAGCTGTGATTTTCAAAAGACCTCAGAGAGTTTGGCATCCAACTTTCATTCATTTTCAACTGCAGTGGGACGCCTAAATTTTGTATACTCCTTTGAAATTCCCAGTAAAAAAGAATATGACAATTCAAAAGAAGAAAGGAGCTGGAGAGCACCAGAAGAGCACAGCCTTTAGGAACTTTTCCTATCTTTTCCACTACCCAGACGTAAAGCCTTCACTAAAATAAAGATTTTCTGTTGCCTTGGACTTGGCAGTTACTAGCATTTTACACTCAAGGTGTAAATAATTACACAGAGTACAAGGCAGAGGAGAATCAGAAACCAGAACATTTTGAGGCTAGAGATATAAAGGAGTAACTGGTTACTTGGTAAACATTGCCTTACCAGCCTGCTTACCAGGGTAACAAGTTAACTGGGGGTCAACTCAGCCAGAGCAGTCCCCCGTCCTGCCAGGCCCAATGTGCACAGATGGGAGGCACTCCAGCCCAGCCAGAGCATCCCCTTGCCTGTGGTATGGTGGACTCTATCTGGCTGGGCTGAAGTATCCCAGCTGGGCCCACTGCACCATGGGCAGGGGACTGCTCCAACCCAGCTGGGCCCATTGTGCCGTGAGCCATGAACATATAGTTTAACCAGTTAACATTTTAAATGGGATTTTACATCTCTATTTAAGGCGCAAAATTCCAATACTCTTAAGATGTGTGGAGCGATTTATCACATTGTAAATTTACATATAAGAATGAATCAACTAGTGGCAAAAACAGAAATAGAATGAGAAAGGATTACTATTAAGAATAATTTAAAATTATAATAGAATTATTAAAAACTCATTAAATTTACACTAATTGCTAAAACTGGCTTCAATTAAAAATGTATAGGGCCAAATCCTGGGGTCTTTGGCTTTTACTCAGTTTTTATTAAGGGAAAACTCCCAGAGCCTGATTCTCCTATCACTTCTACCAGTGTAATTCCACTGGCTTTCATGGAATTATTACTGATTTACACCAGGAGAACTTAGGGTACGTCTACACTTGCTCCCTCGTTCGAACTAGGGATGCAAATGTAGGCGACCGAAATTGCTAATGAAGCGGGGATTTCAATATCCCGAGCTTCATTACCATGATCTCGCCGGCGCGTTACTCCGCTCAACAGCTGTTTCGAAAGTAAAAGTGCACGCCGGCACACGTTAGTTCGAACCAAACCCCTTGATTCGAACTAACATTACTCCTCAGAAAGTGAGGAGTAATGTTAGTTCGAACCAAGGGGTTTGGTTCGAACTAACGTGTGCCGGCGTGCACTTTTACTTTCGAAACAGCTGTTGAGCGGAGTAACGCGCCGGCGAGATCATGGTAATGAAGCTCGGGATATTGAAATCCCCGCTTCATTAGCAATTTCGGTCGCCTACATTTGCATCCCTAGTTCGAACGAGGGAGCAAGTGTAGACGTATCCTTAGAGAGAAACTCAGGCAGTGAGCAGCAAAACTGTCATCCCTAAAAACACATGCTCTAAATAATCATAAAAATCTTTTAAAATGTGGAATTTACCAGTTTGAAGAAAATATCTCTTTGCCTGATTTACAGGATCATCTGCATCTTCTGGTGTGAAAAACAACTTCACAGCTTTTACCTTTAAAAAAAACAGCACATATAAAGTTACTGCATTTTAGTGTAACTACTTTTTCAATTAAAACGATAGCCATATGTCAGTTGTGTGGTAGGACACTATATAGCAGTGCTACTCAACATGTGGCACGTGGCCTGTTTGTTTGCAGCCCGCGGTGCGGTTTGTGTTTATGCAGGGCTCAACACGCGGCCCGAGTGTGGGATCCTTTGAATATGGCCTCCACTAGGAACACACTCCATAGTGGCAAGTCAATATAATGGTCTTCTGTTGATATGCGTTTTAGTAGGTCAATTCCTGGACTGTCATTGCTCATTAAAAGTGTTGTCATATGGGTGGAAATAAGGTCAATATTGCATTTTATTAATATCAACAGAACTGACTTAAATGGGGCCTGCGTGTTTTGTAATCCTGCCTTAATCTTTGTATTCATGCCAGTCAGTGTAAAAGAAGCTATTTGCATATGTATTTGCATGTACATGCAACCATACTTAAGATACGGCCCTCAGTATGTGCTGTATCATTGTTGCCCCCGGGGCTTCCAAAGTTGAGTAGCCCTGCTATACAGCATCTCAAAATTCTGACCATTTCTTATGCACAATGACTCAAATTCCCTCCTCCAACAGAAGAAAGTCCTCAAATGTTATGAATGTGAAATCAGAGTGCTTATTGTATTCTCCCCTTAAAAATCAAAGAGAAGGGCAGGGAATACCCTCCAGAACCTGAAAAGGAGAAGTTAACGATGCAGAGAGTGTTACTTTTTCTCTAGGTTTTGACCTGGAAATCTTCCAGGTTGCTAGGTGAGCATGCTGCTAAAGCAGTAGCCTACAGAGACCTAACTATACAAAATTCACATGGAGGGGCTTACATATCCTCACACAGAGAAAGGACAATGATTAGAAGATATAAGGAGAGAAACACCTGCACATGGTCTGTATTACAGCTTCCATTCTTCTTCTACCTGTGAAGCTATGTACTGTATGGTATTTTGTAAGTGTATGTAAGATCTTCATTGCTTTTCCCTTCACCTGTCAGTTTCAGGCAACTAGCACCTTTTTCCTGCTCATTTGTCCCCATCTATATCAGACAGAGTAGCAGAATATGTGCCTCAGAATTTTTTAGTAAAAATTGCTTAATATATTTTTATTAAACAATTTTATAATCAAAATGGTATCAGAACCAAGACAAGAGATTTAACAACTACCAATCTGCAGCAAACTAGTAATATTTATTTCTACCTAGTCTGAACTAAAAATTTTGTCAGAGTGCAAGTTATTTTGGTGGACAGCATCATGTGGGATGTAAGTGCTTGATTCTCTTTGCATGCAGGTATAACTATATTTACTTTTATTAAAGTTCTCAGATTTCTATCAGTGTAAACAAAGAGGAGAATCAGAGCCTCTATAGCTAATTCAACAATAACTTCTGATATGGACCACATTCTCAACTTCCTGGTACCTCATGTGATCATTTACTTCTGCAAACTGCCCCCCAATTAATAACAGAAAAAAAAAACCAGGACATACATCTCAGGAATTATTATTTGAGAAATTAATTCAAACTGGCTTGCACAAAAAAACCCAACGTATGTGGAACAAAACTAGTTGAGGGACAGTAATCAAAGGATAATGAGAAGACAATATAATGAGAAATGCAGATACATCTATTGTGATCTTAAAGGGTTTGGGTTTCAGAGCTGGTCATATTCAATATTCTTGTGAAATTTTAGAAAAAAGTGCCTCCCAGTGTACTTACCCAACAGTCTGAATAATCACAAGTTAAAGAGCACCTGTCATCGTAAATACATTGGAAAAAAGGGCTTTTGATTTAAATTGTTCTGAGGCTAGTATTAAAAGCAGATGGTTTTATGAAAAGTTATATTACTTATGAAAATTGCAGTGCGACAGCCCTGAAAATTACTTTCCACTCTATTTAAAATACATAACCTTTAAGATTAATGTTAAAATTAAACATTTTGTTTAAATGTTAAAACACTGATGTTATGACACAATATTGTTAAATCATGGTGGGAGCTGGTTTTGCAGTCTCCTCCAAACAACACTCCCACTGCTATTGTCACACAAGGAGTTCACTGTTCAGTAGGATAGTAACCTCCAATACTTGACTCAGACATGCCAACTGTAATCATGGAAAAGAACTAGACAAGTCACTTGGATTAAGAGGTGAATTATACCATTTCTTCATTCAACAAAGCCAGTCCAATTTGATCTGTCTGAACAGTCTGTCCTTGCCCAAATCGCTGAGGTCCATAGTAGTTTACAAAACCTTCTGTCTACAATCAAAAAGAAATCAACTGGTTAAAGCATGAAAATATTAAATATTCATTAAAACAGTAAGGTGCATAGTTTTAAAGGCATTCAGTTATTGCTGGTTTACACTACATGGGAAGGTCAAAGTAAGATATGATCTTACATTGTATTTTCATGCTGTCCATGCAGCAGGAGGCCAACAAGAGCAAATGTTCCCATTGGCTTCCCTTACTCCTTGCAAGGAGTAAGAGCACTGGCACGGACGAGGTTGCCCTTTGAGTTTGATCTAGCATGGGCAACCTAAGCCCCAGGGCTGGATGCAGGCCCCTGCTTGCCTGGATCTGGTCGCTGAGGCTCAGGGCTCCCCCACCCCCAGCATCAGGGAGCCCATGCTGGCACAGAGCACACAAAAACTATTAGCCTGGGCCCCTATAAGCTCTGGTGTGCAAGGGAAATATGGGGAGTGTCTCCTGCTCAGCAATCATGGCAGTAAGGGATTTTTTTTTTTTTGGCCTCTCACTTACGTGTGGCCCCAACTGATTTTTCTGTGGGTTAACAGTCCCCAACCCAAAAAAGGTTCCTCAACCCTGATCTAGTGAGTCTATACTACACTCACTAAATCAAAGATCAATTGTGGCAGCGTCAATTTCCATGTAGTGTAGATTTCCACTTAAAGCCTACGTCCCATTAACTTTCAATGAGAGGCTGCTAAGGCACAGATCCTCAAAGAATTTCAGAGGGAATTAAGCACTGAAATACTGTTGAGGATCTGGGCCTTAGGCCATGTAATGGTGAGCAGAGCAATGCCTGAATATCTTTAAAAATCTAGCCCTAAACATGTCAAATGTAAATTTTGTTTCAACGCTTATTCAAATCATTATTACAATCAGAGAACATCACTTTTTATCACTTTCTTCTCCTGCTGGCATTTTTTCCACAGTTATTATTTATCCCATCCCATTCCCATGAAAAGTCTGGCTGCACTAAAAAAAATGCAGCCAAAGTCTATAATTGGTTGGTAGGTATTACTTTACTTTTTCTTCCAGTCAGAAGTTAAGAGCATCTCCACCAGAGCCAGCCTCAAGCCTCAGCAGCTCTAGTTTAAACAAATACTCCGTATCTGTCACATTCCTCATCTGTTGTCCTGTACTACTCTGGGCTCAGAAAGCTGTGGCACAGAATGAACTCACTAAACTGTCCTTCCTTTTTGGCAAGTTGCACCATTTGAGCCACAGAGACTAGTCATCAAAGGGCACACAGCTTCTAAAATAAGTGAAATGTTGCTAGAGCTGAGTAGAGATTGCAGGTAAGAGGTAGCATGAGAACCATTTTGTTTGGGGGTGGGAGGAAGGTAGCACAATTTTTAGATGAGACAAAAATATTTCCTTGTTGAAAATGAAATCATGGCATCTCTTTTTACCTTAACATTCTCAATTGCTTCAAAAATTCTCTCTTTCAGATCTGCAGAAGAGTCATTGCTCTGAAGTTTTAGATCTCTCACAATTATATCAAAGTGGTTTCCCTTCAGCTGACCAAGTCTGAGGTGCTGGCATACTGAATGGATATTATACACATTCATTCCTTTTTTTACAATTGTGCTTCCAATTTCTTTCAACCTACACAAATGATAAATTGGGAGTTTATGAAGAACTGCTGAGAAAACATGTCAACTGGAAAAAAAATTCCTTCACAAACCCTTGCTTTGCCTCAAAACTAGTTGTGTGTCGGTATGTTAAAGACAAGTCAACTATCCAATAAGCATTTGCTTATCGGAGAGTCTGTCAACTAATCGATTCCCCCCCCCACCTGCTGCTGCTATAAGATAGAGGCGGCAAAGGGGGGACGAAGGGGTATTGCAAAGCGGCAGCACCGCACAGTTAAGCCGGGGATCAGCTGTGCTCCACTGCCGCTTTGAAACCCCAAAGTGGTGTTTCAAAGGGGCAGTTTGTGTACAGCTGATCCACGGCTCAGCTGTGCAGCACTGCCCTTTTAAAACGTCGAAGTGCCATGGAGTCCAGGGTCAGCTGGGGACTCCTCACCTAATCCCAGGTTCCAAGTGGCATTTCCCCAGGACCTGGGGTCAGCTGGGGAGCCCCCAGGCGACCCTGGGCTCCACAGCTGCCCCTCTGAAATGCATAGAGGTGGCATTTCAAAGGGATAGCTGCTGCACAGCTGATCCCTGGTTCAGCTGTGTGGTGCTGCCCCTTTAAAACGTGCCTTGGCACTGACCCTGGGTTCCGGGGAAGCTCCACATGGAACCTGGGTCAGCTGGGGAGTCCTCCACTGACCCTGGGCTTCATGGCTTTGAAATGCACAAGAGCCCCTACTTGGGACTCTTGTACATTTCAAGGTCGGGCTGCACGGGGGGTGCCTGAGTCAGCGGGACTTCATGCTGGCCCCAGGCTATTTGCAGAGTTCCTCATTCCTCCTTGGAAATGTACAAGAGCCCCCTAGCTCTTAATAATTTAAGGCCTTAATAATCTACTTCCTGTCTCCATCTTTTTTCAGTTGCTTTTCTTGTGGTCTTCGTTCTGAACCACAGGGAAACTGGCTTTACAATAAGGGAAAGTGATATACAGATTATTAAGGACCTGAGGCCACCTGAATATTTATCAGTACAGGTTGAACCTCTCTAATCTGGCACCCTCTGGTCTGGCATGATTTTAGTTAGCTGAATGGCCACTTATCATGGGTGTGGCCAAATTTCCTGTGGTCCCATAAGTCTGTTTACAGCCACCAGTCCTAGTTCTCAGTGTTCTGTGCTGTTATTTAGCTCTAATTTACCCCTAAAGATCTTCTAAGAGCCCAGTAAGTAGTCAAAGTGTTTGTAATGCTGCTAGACAATACTGACACCACATGATTAGGCAAATTCTCTGGTTTGGAACTGGTCAGGTCGCCCGGGGCTGCCAGACTAGAGAAGTTCAACTTGTAGTAAAATTCTGCTCCAACTGGTCTTAAAAAACTAACTCAATAAATAATAAATTAACATAATTTTGCATTGATATTTGAATCTATAAGCACATATGCATAAACAGTACTAGCGTTCCATCTGCGGAAAATCTACATTTATGAATATATTAAAATATTTATAAATGTAACTCAAAATTCCAGATCAATCCTGCAGCTCTTATACACACAAAGCTTCTCTTGACTCAAATGATTATAAGAACTGAAAGATTAAGAGCCTACATAAAGGCCAAATATTTGAACTGTCAGTTGTGTTTTCAATTACAAGCATGTACGCTCACACTCAAGCAGAAAAATCAATGCTCAGAGTTTGCTTTTAAAAGGCTGACCAAAAGAGAGTAAACGTGTTTTGAAGACAGTTACTATAGTATAACCTTTATTATTGATGAGAAACAGATTTTTATGGATCAGAACAACAACAAATAAAAATTCAGTATAGTCAACCCTGTGAATGCTTCTAAGATATTCAAGTTACTCCATTAAGGAGCATGTCCAATAAAGGCTATAAACACAAATCAACCAAATATGTTTTTAAATATTTCTGATGTGTCAAACTGACTACATAGAAGACCATCTTTAAAAAAGTTGCAATTAAAAATTAGCTAATTTTTTAATTAAGTAGGACTTAAGATGACAATCCTGTTTATGTTTATTACCGAGTGCAATATTTATTGCTGAAGTTCCACCGATGCTACGTTAGAGAGTAAGCGAACATTTGGTAGCAATTATTTGCAAGATCAAACTAAATACCACAAAGAAGGGATGTTCTTGTGATACCAAAGGAAAAAGGACCCTACATTTCCCAATCCCTGGTGTTCAGTATTTATCTAGAAACTAGTTCCTGAAGCTTAAGTTTGCCACAAAGTTTCAAAATAGATGGAGAGGGGCACTACCTAACTTGCCTACTTTAGCAGGCTCTAGATAACTTGTTTATCTGGGAGAATACGGTGCGTGGATGTTTGTGGGTGTGTTAGAGTTAATAATAAATATCTACTGAATAGTGATTTAATAGGTAGTTTTGTACCACAACTAAATTTTTCCACTTTCCAATAATGTGAGATAAATGAGTTTCTGTTCCAAATTCACATCTCCTTTATTTATTAATGCAATCCCTAAATTTCTGAGGGGAAGCTAAAGTTACCTCAAGCTTTCTTTTGTCTGTGCCCACAGTCATAGGAAAAAAACTATTGTTTCAGACAGACAATACTTGAGAGAACACTTACAGGGAAAAACTATTACTGTCCTTGGTCTTGTGGGGCATCTACACATCTTCCCCTCTTCTGATCCAACAGTGCTGGTTTGTTATTCATAGTCTCTGAGGGGAAAGGGCTATACAATATAGTCACCTGTTTGAGTGACATGTAGCTTCTACTCTTCATCCTCCGGGCCTAGGTCTACACTAGGGATGTTAGTGATCATTTAATTGAATAATCATGTATCCGCAAATATTCTCAGTCACACAATTATCTATGGTCCCCAGGGGCAGGGCCAGCAGCCAGTGTGCTCCCAGCCCCACTCCCAGGGAGCCCCCTGCTACTCCATGCTCCTGCCTCTAATACAGAGGCAGCAGGCCAGGGTTGCAGATAGGAGCTGATCCATGAGGGGAGCTGGTTTAAAAACTAGCTCCCCACACAAACAAGCTCCTGCCTGCTACCCCACGCTGCTGCCTCTGATACCAAGGTAGAAGCACAGGACAGCAGCAGCCTCTGTCCACGGGAGGCCTGAGTTCCTTGTGGACAGAGGCTGCTCCACCATCCCACGGAGCAGCCCCTGTCTGCGGCAAGCCATGGCCCACCATGGACAGAGGCTGCTCTGGGGCAGCAGCCCTTGTCTGGGGGGAGCATCCCATGGAGCAGCCTCTATCTGCGGCAAGCCTGGATCCGCCATGACAGAGGTGCCTCTGTGGCAGCAGCCCCTGTCCATGGAGAGCCCAAGCTCCTAACGAACAGATGCTGCTCCACCATCCCATGGTGAGCCTGGGCCTGCTACAGAGGCAGCAGCATGGGACTCAGGGGGGCAGGTACCTCGGTGAAGCTGGTGCTCATGGGGAGCCAGGTTTTTAGCTAGCTCTCTCCAGCACTGGCTCCCACCTGCCCCTGATTCCCTCCCCCCCCAGCTGCCTCTATGGTAGGCGTGAGCTGATACGTGTGAGGAGCCAACTTGAAAGTTGGCTTCCCACGTGTACCAGCTCCAGCCTGCTCCCCTTAACCTCCGCTGCTGCTGCCTCTATATCAGATGCTGGAGGGGGGGAGCTGCCCTCAGCATTTGAATTGGGGGTCTACTCTACACCTGCTAAATCGAATGCTAAAAGATCGACCTCTGAAGAGTTGATCTTCTCCATAGTGTAGACATGTCCCGAGGGACTAAGAGTTTAGGACAGAGAGGGTTGATGGAATTGTAAGTCACACCCTCTCCATCCACATATTTACAGACGACAATTACTGTGCTCTTCTGACAGACAATGCCAGGGAGTGGAGAAGAGAGCAACTTAACCTGGTTCTCATATACTGGGTGACTGTATGTCCCTAGGGAAGACACCCCTTTGTCCTCCAGTGCAACTTCTTCAGTGACATAAGTAGATTTAAGATTCGGTGTATTCCAGACGCTGCACCCTGATCACTAGATTACTGGAAAGGGAAAGGTCTCTGCAACAAGCAAGAATAAGAAAATATATACTTTTTTTTCCAAAAAGTCCAAGGCGAATCAGTGTCAAACCTGATATTCCCTACTAACAAATGCATTAAGTCACAACAAAACTGCTCTAAGCAGGCTCAAACATCAGAGGAGATGGTCTAATATAATAAGACTAGCATTAAAAGGTGCTTTCACATTTATTAACCTATTCCAATGATGAAATTGTGGAGAACCAAAGCCACATCTACACTTCCATTTTACTGCACTGCAACTTTTTAGTACAAGGGTGTGAAAAATGCCCCCCAAATACAGTAAGTTATAGTGCTGTAAAGTGCCCATGTAAATGGGCTCCCAGTACTAGGTGTTACCGTCCTTGTTTAGGTGGTATACATAGAGTACTGGGGCCATGGACATACTTTCACTTTAAGGTTATGTCTACACTACAGAGTTTTTTTGGAAAAACAGCCGGTTTTCCAAAAAAAACTTCAATTACATCTACACTGCAATCACATTCTTCCAAAAGAAAACTGAAAGAAGAGGGGATTTTCTGAGATTGGTAATCCTCATTCTATGAGGAAGAAGGCTCTTTTGGAAAACAGCATGTGTTTTCCCCGGAAAACGGGGAAGAGGGAGTTCTTTCGAAAGAAGAGGAAAGAGGAAAAAGCACAGGTGTCCTAGTGGCCGCTCCATCCATAATAATCACAACTTACATGTGAGATAGTGTCCACACTGAATGGTCACTATCTTTCAAAAAAAGCAGATCGCTTTTTTGATGTGCTTTTGCAGTGTGGAGGCTCTCTTTTTCTCTTCCAGAAAAGCTTCTTCCAAAAGAAGCCTGTAATCTAGACATAGCCTAAAGTGCTGCCACAGCACTGCTTTAATTTCCTAAGTGTAGACTTAGCCCAAGTTATTAGTACCTCTCAGGAGTCACTTTTTTCACAACCATAGCTTGGTAGGTGATGGCCTTTTTGTCTTTGATGCCTGTGTAACTGAAGTCTGAAGGAAGCACACCAAGTTCAGTAGACAAAGAGCTAATTGCTTCTAATGTTTCCAGATTTTCTTTTCGAAGGATAAAACCTGCGAAAAAATCTCAAAATTATTAGAAAACCTCCATACCAAATTATATTGGGAACTCTATCTTCACTAATGAGCTAGCCATTATTCTTTAACAATAGAATAGGATGGGATTTGGTAAGAACACAGAATCAACTGTTCCCCAAACTAAACTGTAGGTAAAGAAAAACATGTTTATGTATTGAAAGGGAAAGATATAGATGACAACTGATACTCAAACTACAGCTACTCTAAACCATAGCTGGACATAAAAACAACAATATTTTCAATGCTTAGAAGATGCAAATCTCTCCATATTCATTATAAAAACAAAACAATTTTAAAAGGACATACTGAACATTTCTAAAATGGTATATGGATTTAACGCTGGGCCTATAAACCACTCTAACAGAAATATCATTTTACATTTCAAAAAGTAATGGTTTTTAAAAATGAATTCAGAAATCAAACCTGACCTTATTGTAAACTGTGAGAAATAACCTAATTAATGTTATATCTTTAACATATAAAAGCGTAGGAAGACCTAACAGAACACCCACAATTCTTCAACTTATTTTAAAATGAGAAACTATAATGCATGCTATGTACACACAGAAAGAGGTTGCACTGAGGGTATTTCAAACATTTAATTCAGTGTGGTAACTGGATTAATCTCTCACACCAATTTTACACTAGTTTAACTAAACTGACATAAGTAGAATTATTCCTGATTGATGTCTGTGTAAATAAGAGGAGAACCAGGCTCTGTAATCTTTTAGAGACAATTATTTTAAAACAATTAACCAAGGAAATTATAAAACATTATTAAATGTTTACCTGTATAGACATCTTGTTTTTCCTGGCAATCAGTAGCTGGCCTTTTCCTGGACCAACTCTTCTCTCGAAACCTTACTATTATTGCTACATTATGCTGATCACAGAAGTCTGTCACAGAAAAAGACTTTGTTTCTAGAAGTTTTCCAAACTTTTGACTGATAAAATGGTGGACTGCCTTTCTGTGCTCTTTATTCCCATCAGGCTTAAAAGAAAATTTAGAGTTTTCCAATTTTGCATCTAAAAATTTAAAAAAATCAAATGCTTCCTTCTCAGATACTAGTTGACAGAGCTGTTTGTAATCACTGTTTGCTTTGACAATAATTTCATTATTCTTTGTAACAGTCATTAAGAAAGGAAATTTCTGTCTAATGGCGCTGTGTAAATCAGCTCGATTCCTCTTGTCAAGGACTGGCCCCAGTGAGAACTCGGCAGGATGAGCAGCTGGGTCATGTTCTGAGTCCCACCCACCTTTTATGTTACAAGCAAACTGATTCAACAGTTCGTTCACAGATTCGTCTAACAAGGAATCCAATGTAGCTCCTTCATGGTGCCCACCTTTGGATGAAGCACCAGCCACAGGCTCTGTGCTGTCCTTGGCTGGCAACAAGCTCTCCTCTGGAGCAAGACTGGGATTGTCAAATGGGCCTAGCCTCTGGTAACACTCTTCACTGTGGAGCTCCAGAGGCTTTGGCCAATACCTGTGGGTGTTCTGTGGGGAGGAGCTGCTTGGGACTGCAGGCATACCACCGAGTCCAGGAAGAGTCTTGTCTACATTCTCACTAAGCAGTCGGCCGAGGGTATCAATTTCTGTCACAATGAAGTCACTGGCAGAAGTTTTTATTCTACCCTGGAAGCCGGTGTGATCACTCCGTGTGCACAGGGCACCAGGCATGGCACCTGCCCCGCCCCGAGACCACACACCTGCAAGAGAGAGTTCACCAGTCACTGCACAGCAGGCAGGGCACCCCCCACTTTTCACAAAGATCATCACTGATCACCTGCTACTAGTGGGGCCCCCTGAAACAAAATATTAATGCAAGGGTCACCGTTTCCCACCCAGCATGGGCAGCTGTCAGTGGACCTGGCTCCACCCTACCCTGTGTATGCAAGGTGGCAGGAGCCTTCAAACACACTCCTGCCCTTACCCTTTGTGGGGGGTCAGGAATCAGAGAAGCCAGCCCCCACTGCTCACCCTGTGTGCGTGGGGAACAGCAGTCAGCAAACCTGGTCCACCTATTGCCCTGTACGTGCAAGGGGGAGAACAGTCAGAGCAAAACCCAGGGACTGGACAGAGGACCATCAGGCAAGACACTGCCCGACCTGTCATGGAGAGTCTGCCAGCAAGGGTGCTGTCACCACAAACCCAACTAGTTCGGCTGCCTAGTGTCAGAGCCTTGGGATCAGCCTGTGTGGATGTTGCTGACTCAGGGCCGGCTCTGCACTGAGTCTCGTCATCCCTCTTTGACGATGCTGCACGTGCTGCAAGTGGGAGGGTGGAGAGGGGAGGTTACTGTGCGACATACACAAGACTCCACAGTGCTGTCCTGTCATGAGAGGAGTGTGGGCAGAGTGACAGTTAGTGGAGAGAGGTGAGTGGACCCAGTCAGTGGGCCACCTATCCTGAGTGATTGATCAGTGGGGCAAGTCCTGCTGTGAGCTACACCCTACTTTCAGCAGCACTAATGTTTGCAGGGGTTGGGCTGACTTAGGCTCTACAGTGAAAGCTGGGCAGACCCTTCTTTCTGGCCCTGAGCGAGCCATGTAAGATCCACGTTAGGGATGTGAACAACTAGCCGATAAGCAAATGCTTATCAGCTAGTCGACAGGCTAGTCGACCAGTCGCTTCCCCCCACCTTGCTGCCTCTACCAGAAAGAGGCTGCAGGAGGTGGGGGGGAGGGGAGGCAGTGTTTCAAAGCAGCAGTACTGTGTGGAGCCTGGAGCCAGACCTCAGACTACGTGCGGCACTGCTGCTCTGAAACACTGCATGTAGCCCAGGTCTAGCTGGGGTGTCCCCAGGCTACACGCAGCATTTCAAAGTGGCAGCAATGCGTGGAGCCTAGGATTAGATGAGGACTCCCCTGCTGACTCCAAGCTTTGTGAGGCGCTGCCACTTTGAAGTGCTGCGTGAAGCCTGATTCTGGGCTCCCGGCAGCGTTTCAAAGTGGCAATGCTGCATGGAGCCCAGGGTCAGTGGGGGAGTCCCCAGCTGACTCCAAGCTCCACATGGCTGTGCCACTTTGAAACCTGACTCCAGGCTCCATGTGACGCTGGTCTCCCCGTGGTGTTCCAAAGTGGCAGCGCTGCATGGAGCCTGGGGTCAGCAGGGGAGTCCCCCACTGACTGCGGCTCCTCACAGTGCTGCTGCTTTGAAATGCCATGAGCATGGAACCAGCAGAGGACTGCCCTACTGGACCCATGCTCCCCACAGCACATTTGCCTCTGAAGGCGAAAGTCACCTACAAAGGCAGAGGCACCCTATCAACTAATTGAAATTTAACATCTCTAATTCATGTCTGGCACTGGGAAGCAGCATGCTCGGTGTTGCAAAGCAGTAACTAGGCATTTTAGTCCCCAGGAGAGCAAGTATATTTGCACACCTCACCCTTTTTTTTTTTGGTCATTTTCTGCCACCACATCTTTGCAATCTGGGTTCCATCTCTGCCCTCCTGTGGCTTCCAGAGAAAGAATCCTATCTGCTAATACATATCCCAGTAAATGGGATCCACTACTATAGATGGACTCCAGCTGAGCCCTTTCTACTGTTAATAATCTGCCTCTCCCACCCTAGCCCAGAGGTAGAGCCCTGCAAATCTGCAGCTATCCACTTTATATCTGTGGGTATCTGCATCTGCAGATGTGGGTGCAGATATCTGTGACACTTTTTTTGCGGATATGGATACAGATTTTGTATGTGCTTTATATCCGTGAAGGTGGATAGCTGTGGATCATTTTTGTGGATGTGGATACCAAATTTGTATCAGCACAGGCTAAACAGCTCTCATCTGGGTGGCACTCTCACACTCAAGTCCAAGAGGCATAAAAACCTTTTCCATCAGGCAACACCAGATCAGTGTTTTGCTTCCAGAAAGGAAAGTGCATGTTTTATGGTGAAAGTAATTTCTCTGTCTCTTGATTAATAACAACAAATCAACATCCACAGCCTGGAGAAGAGAACAGAAATTAATTGACTCTGTTTTGAAACAGGGGTTCAAGTTAGTCAGTATCACCTTTTCATCCTGGTGAACTGGAATGAAATGTGATTCTTTACAGCTGTCCATTGGTAGTCTAGTTTCCACCATACACACAGCCCTTTCAATACACGTGTCAAATAAAGTAGGTACCTTCCTCTTTCACAGGTTCTGTTATTTTCCTCATTGCATTACCAAAGGTACATATTTTAACCCCCTCTCCCCTACACTTATCTAAGCTACCTATGTTTCTCCTACAAATCAAGATGATGATATCTTGGGGGAAAGAAAAATAAAAAAGAAATGGCTTTGTACTGTTTTGTTTTTCCAATTAAATAATAAAGCCATATCCCAAAGCAAATTAACAGTGTCTAAGTGTCAAAAGAGCAAGACATGATTCTCAACAGCAAAGGCACTGGGCTGGCACTGCAGGATAGAAAATGCAAGTGGAATCAGTGACATCCAAGTAACAGTAATAAGTAACGTCTGGCAATTCTCATGGCAGAATTCTGCAGTAATGGTACAAAACACAGCAAGCACTAACTGTAAGTAGGGTTTATTGGGCAGGGTACAAATCTGGAATCAGATCTGCCTCCATCCCACCTGTGCCAGCTCCCACCTGCTCCCCCTGCACTGCTGCCTCTGATACAGATTTTATCAACTTATTGTGAAGTTGACTGCACATTGATACCCCCTACTTTGGATGCTGTGGAACAATTCAACAGCTTATGATTAGGGGACACCCTATTGCTTAGCATGTTTAAAATTCACCTTGACAAATAGTACTGAATGCACAAGTGGGCACAATCCTATGCTGGCCAGGGGGAAGACTAGATGGTCTACCTGATCTTTTCATTTCCACCATCTGCGATTTACAAACGTTAACTAAAGAATTCACAATTGTCCAATATGAATGGAGAGGAGACTGGAATCTGATGGTCATCAAGAGTGCAGGCTTATTTATTAAGGTGTAAGGAGTAGGCAGAATGGCTGAAAAATAGATTGGGCACTGGCCTGCGAGTCAGGAGCGGTCTGCCCAGTTCCTGGCTCCGCCACAGTCTGACCCACCATGTAATTTTAGGGTTAAGCTCTCCGTGCCTCGGTTAATTACACACCTGCTAGGTCACGTTTGTAAAGTGCTTCAGCGATAGCAGGGAGGTAAGTAAGTGCAGGCAGCTACAACACTCAGGAGCGCCGCCCCCCGGAGCTCACCAGATCAATCTGAATCCGAAGAGCAAGCGGCTGTCACGCACCAAACATCACTGTTGCACTTTCGGCGGGGGGAGGGAGGGGTCCCCTGGGCAGCCCCGCGCTGGCCCACGCGCTGCACACAAACCCGCAGGCTCCGGCGCGTTCCATGTGCGCGCAGCTCAGCCCCGCCCCCCTCCTGCCAGCCACTTGGCGCAGCGACCTCCTACCTCCGGCGCGCGACGGCGGCAGCACGTAGCGCGCGGCCCTTCCGCCCTTCCCAGCCGCCGGGGCGTTCGGGGCCCTGCCGCTGCGGTCCTAGCGCCGGCCGAGCCTGCCAGGACACCGGGCTCGCGACCCTGAGAGGAGGCGGGGCCGGGCACGAGCCCCCTGGGTTGCGGTCCGGCCCGATCCTGCGCCTCCCCGGCCGCTACCCGGCCCAGGGGCGGCGCTGCCCGCTTGCTTCCGGCCCAGCCGCCCGATCCCGCGGGCCCGGGGAAAGTGCCGGGGCAGAGGGGCTCGGGAGCCGGGCCTGGTGTGCGGGACAGGGACCCCGCCAGCCTGGCGACGAGGGTGGCCGTAAGGTCACGTGGCGACGCAAGTTGGGTGCGTGCAAGTTTTAAACCCCGTGTTAGGCAACAGGCTTGCATGGGGGGGGACTAGTGAGCTGTGTGGGAGGGAGCGGCTCGGAGGTAGACACAGATGGACACGTGTTCATCTAGCGCCTCACTCAAAGGAGCCAAACCTCATTGGCTTCTTCAGGTACCTAATGTCAACCGGGGGAAGGGTAGTGGGAATGAAAGCAGGCCGGGGTGTGATTACAAACAAGGGAATTAAAATAAGATAACAATGAGTCTTATGCTTGATGACTATTGTACTTGTAAAATCCTGTGTTTAAAAGATGCAATGCATTTGTTAGGAAGATGAGCAAATCCATAACTCCTTCAACATATTTGCGCTCCATTGGCTATAAACTCATGATGCAACTGGCTGATTTCATTGATCCCCAAGAAGGATGGAAGAAGCTAGCAGTAGATATAAAAAATCCTTCTGGTGAAAACAGATACAATCAAATGCATATAAGGTATTGTATAAAAGTCATGATAAAATAGTTTTTTTAATCAAATTGAGCTACTTAATATAAATATTGCTTCCTCATTCCTGTGACTTCTAACAACCTCCATTTAAGGAAAGATTAAAAAGACTGGGTCTGTTCAGCTTAAAAAAGAGACAACTGAGGTGGATATGATAGAGAACTATAACATCATGAATGTGTTGAGAAAGTCAGTAGGGAATTGTTATTTACTCCTTCACATAACACAAGAAAACTAGGGGCCAGGTGTTAACAGGTAACAATTTTAAAACAACCCAAAAGGAGGATTTGTTAACACACTGCACACTGTGCAAATCATTGCCATGGATTGTTGTGAAGGCCAACATTTAACTAAATTCAGTAAAGTTCACAGGTAAGGTTGAGATTTTTATCAGGTTTATTTTTAATAAAATTACAGACAGATCTCAGGTGATAAAACAAAAATTCAAAACAAACATTTCAGTGATTGTTACTAAAATAAGGAGGGTGAGGGAGCTGATAACTGGGGATGAGTGACAGCTCCAGCCCCTGCTTTCTGTGGCAGCTTCTGACAGCTGTAGGGGGCCTCAAGTCTGCTTAGAGCTACAGGGCTGTAGATGGAGATGAAGCTGAAGCAACAAATGTAACAGAAGTGTCTTAAAGTCATGGAAATATGTGACCTTCATAACAAAATCTTGTCTTTCCTCATGGAAGATAGGAAAAACCTTAGAGACTAACAAAAATTTAGATGGTATCATGCATGAGCTTTTGTGGGCACAGCCCACTTCTACAGATGAATGGAGTTTAAGGGGTCCAGTTTTCAAATAAATAGCAGAGAGAGGGAGTGGGGAGGGGGGGAGAGAAGGAAAAAAAGGGGAAAGAAATTGTCAATTAGAGTGTCCATGCTAAATGAAGCTGGTAAGAGCACTTAGTACCCACTGATAAGTGCTCTTAACAGCTTTATGTAGCATGGACACTAATTGATCATTTCTTTCCCTTTTTTTCCTTCTCTTCCTTCCCCCCCCCCCCATGCTGTTTATTTGAAAACTGGACCCCTTAAATTCCATTCATCTGAAGAAGTGGGTTATTCCCATGAAAGCTCATGAAACCATCTACATGTTTTGTTAGTCTCTAAGATGCTACAGAACTAGTCGCTGTTTTTTAAGTTTTTCCAGTTACAGACTAACTGCTACCCCTCTGAAACTCATGGAAGGTAGGTCCATCAGTAGCTGTTAATCAAGATGGTTAGGGATACAACCCATGCTCCCGGTGTTCCTAAACTTGCACCTGCCAGAAACCAGGATTATGTGACATGGGGTGGATCACTCAAAAATTCTGTCTGACAAATATGTCTGACAAATTGGGTCAGGCCAATGGTGTATCTAGTCCAGTATTCTGTATTCTGACAGGGGCTGCTGTCAGAATACTGGGCTAGATACACCATTGGCCTGACCCAATTTGGCCATACTTGTATAACCTAATTGGGTTTCTGAATTTCATAGCTGTTATTGTAAAAGACAAACTAAAGTCAACTTTTTAATTTGATTTATCACATTTATTTTATTCTGAGCCTAAAAAGAATGCTGGAAGATATTTAGTATTTGAGACATTAAGGTTTTAAGCCTTCATTGTGTTTTTTTTTATTTGTTTGTTTATATGAACTTGCAGAAAGTTACCATTCCAGATAGCTCCTGTCTTGTATCTCTAGACCACTATATGGATAACACATTTGAATCTGCATCTGTATCTGCAAAACGAGCTGCAAATATCTGAAGATTTGCAGGGCTCCAAGCTTCTCCCTTACAGTAACATAAGCTATTATAAAGATTCTCAGAATGGGACAGATACAGGTGATATGGGACCCAACTAATTTCAGATGCAATTCCATTCTTTATGGAGTTAAGCCAGTGAGGAATTTAGCCTATATCACTAATTAGAAGATTTACCTGACATTACTCAGCTCTTTCAGGGCAGGAGGCTGAAGGTGTGGGGGTACAGGGTTGGGGGGTGAGGAGAGGCTCAAGGTAGGGAACTGTGAGTTTGAGGGGTGCAGGAGCTGGCAGGGGCTGTGCTGGCTGGGTGGCAGCTCCCTGGTGTACCCCCCTGGCTGTGGGGTGGATCTCTGGGGCTGGCTGCAGTGGGGACTTCACTGCCTGGGTGGTGAGTGGTCAGTTTACCCTTGCCACCCAAATGAACTTATAGCTATTCCAAGCCCCATATCTGGCCCCTTGCTGCACCCTTGGCCATTACACAGTATAACTGTCCCTGCCAGCAGAGCTCGTCCTTTCTGTTTTACAGAAAATAATCTCATTCCAGGCAGATCCAGGCCCTTAACAACTAAACCCTTTCCATGCTTTAAGGTACAATAAGAGGAAGCTGTATGCTGAATTTGGTAGCCCTAGCTCTTACTGTTTAAGAGGAGTTCTTGAATAGACGGACGAAGCGACAGACTCACTCAGACAAACTAACTCTCTAAAACATTAGGAATAAACAGAAGAAAGCTTTTAAAAAAAAACCAACCTTTTCACACCTTCTCTTTATGCTATGAAGAAACCTGGATGTATCACCCTTCCACTCCCCCATATTTGCAGGATACGTAATTTGATTTTAATTTATCTTTTAAGGAGATTTGAAGGGCTAATGAAAATGGGAAAGAGCCCCACTTGTGAATTACTGTATGACTGGGGAACATCAAACTGTACAGTTGGTGATCTTGTGGAATTGTTGATCAAGAATCAGTTCCTAGCACCAGCTAGCCTTTTGCTTCCAGGTAATTCTGTTCTCCGTGGTATCTATAACTTCACAGTAGCTCTCAATTTAAAAGAAATAAATAGCTTGTTTAAATGATACACAAAGGTAGTTACATCTCTTCTTACATATTTTTTAATAATGTAGATTAAGAGTAATTGTTTAGGATGTTACATGCATATTTAAGTTTTAGACACATGTAAAACTTTTCACATTTAATGAAGCTTAGCTATCTGTTAGCTTTTATTAAATGCTGGTATTCTATAACTTATCATTTTCTGTTTCCCAGCGTTCTTAGATATATTTTTAATTTCATTTGCAGATGCTGTTAGGGTGGCAAATGATTTTACAGTACCTTTTTCTTCACAAGAAACTATGCCTATACATGAAAAACAAGTGCCTGTACAGGAAAAAAAAGTAATATCTAGAACGCCTCTTTTAGCTCAGAGTAATGTGGGACAACTTTCAGCTCCTTCCTGCTTACCTCAAGAGAATGACAATCTGCAACTTAGTGACACAGGTATGAACTTTGGAAGAATTAAATGCAGCTTCAGCTGTTGCCTTTTGTTATTACGAATATCCTTGAGCCAAATTCTGGAAGTGGAAAGGATATACAGTAGAACCTCAGAGTTACAAACACCCCAGTTGTTCGTAGTTCATAACTTGGAATAAAACATGATTATTCAGTTTACTTTTAACATAGTACAGTACTTCATTTTTGCTGTGTGTATGTGTCTCCTCTCTTTCTCTCTGCTGGTGCTGCCTGATTGCATACTTCTGATTCCAAATGACTTGTGTGGTTGATCGGTAAGTTTGTAACTGGTGTTAATAACTCTGAGCTTCTTTAGCAAACAAGGAACCAGATTTTGCTATACCTTTGCAAGTCCCTGTAAGAAACCTCCTATCCTTGGTACAATTTTTGTGCTGCCTGTACAAAGGGATTTTGGCCTGTGTTCATCAAACTTTCAGTATGCATGCTCCATCTGGATAGTGACAAAGCCACTGAGGTGGAGTATTGGATATAGAAGCTTCTCATTTCAATGTGCTCTACGTCAGTGTTAGTGATGAGGTTGGACTGTTGGAGTACTTGTTTCATGGGCTATTGGTCTCTGAGCTCCGAAATTAATGCTGAATTGATTGTGTATCTGGTTTCTTCCACACAAGGCACTGGAAGATTTGTACTTGAATTACCTGGAAGTAGTGAACAGAGTTATCAAAGTATAGCTAACGCTCATGTGATTTGTTTGCTTTTCTTTCATTCGTTCGTCCATCCGTCCGTCAACTGAGAGAGGAATTCTGGCTTAAAATGCAGAATTAATCCAAAATTAAAGATCCAAAATGCCTATTTGTATTCTGATAAATCTGTTGATTAAATAGAGCTAAAACAGGGAGATAGCCACTTTGCACACCTGTACCTTTGCACACCTGTACCTCAGTGTGAAACTGACATTTTGGTTCCATCTTATATGTGAAATATTTCTTTGTTTCAGGTTTCCACAGCTTTTGGTTCCATGAATTGAAAAATGTTACGAACAACTTTGATGAACGACCTATATCGGCTGGAGGTAATAAACTGGGAGAAGGAGGCTTTGGAGTTGTGTACAAGGGCTACATCCATGGCAGAATTGTGGCAGTGAAAAAACTTTCTGCTGTAAGTTGTCCTATCTATTTTGTATGAGTCTCATATGTTTTATGGTGTTACTATGGTGTATTTTAAGTGGACACATTCAGTAATCTTATGACAGAGATACTTCAGAATTTGACATAATTGAAAACTCAGTTGGCTGAGAATATTTCTCAGATTTTAACTCCTTTTAAAATGCATTATGATGTCATCCATTTATTAGTCACCTGTCACGACTTTTAGTAACATAGATTTTGTTTTATAAGAGGTTAATGGCTGTCTCCAAAAGGGGCCAATATCATATGTTTCAGAGGATGACACAAATTCTCTCACCTTCTGTGGTACACCAGAGGATTCAGTAGTATGCGATTGACAGAAATGAATTTTTTTCTTGGTCCGGTGATCAGTTTGTGTGCCGAAGCTTCAGAATGGGTAGTCTTTGTAATTTTATCCTAGATAAACTTAGATGCTTCCAAGATGACATGGAAGCTCAATTTAAAAAGAGCTATTTAAAGACCAAGACATTATTATAAGGAACCAATCCAGTTAATGGAAAAGGCTGGAGCAATGATTTTGTAGGTCTTTCCCATTCTGATTTTTGTGATTCAGTGCTTCAGATGTGTCTGGTCATTTTTAGGGGAGGTGAAGGGAGGTTGTTTGTTTTTAAGCTCTCTACCTTATTAGTGGGTAAGTGACTCCACAAGCTAAATATACATTCCATTAATATTTTGACTTTTATCTATTATAAACTTGCTGATTTAATATAAATATTTACTTATGTAAATGTTAAGCCCAGTATTGCAATTGCTGGAGGGGGGGGAAACAGGGGGGGGGTAAACAGGTGATCGGGCTGCTATGCTGACATCCTAGATCCAATTACCTTACACTTAAGGAAGTAAATAGTAATGCTGATGTGATATTTTCAAGTTCCATTTAAAACAACACAGTAAAAAATTAATATTTTCCAAATATGGAAGGTAGAATTGCTAAGAAAAGACCCCTTTTAATTCTTGAAAAATATTACTACATACTGTTTTCTTGCTTTTTAAAGTAATTGACATTGTCCATTCATGAGTATTCAGAGGAACAATGTAACATGATTGTTTTGGGAGGCAAATGTAGCTTGTCTCAGATTTAAAGTGAAAAAGATACATTTTTATCTGCATTTTTGAGCTGCTATATCTTGAAACGCTGAGTAAAATATCTTAAGGTTTAGCTGCCATAATTTTGTGTAGGAGCTCAGATTTCTCTTTCTAATGGTACAGGTTTTAGCTCTTGTAACCGTTGATTTAACTGGAACCATTTGTGGGAGAATAGGCTGGAGAAGCAGACTCCCATTGTTCAGTTTACTAACAAATACAGTAAAAACGATCTGTTGGCAAACATTCACATACCAGGGAATAAGCATCTTTCTCCAACCCTGTAAAAGTTCTGATATTACCCTCCCCTCAAACTTTACTGCTGCTTTTTATCTCAGGCCCTGGATGCTCAGTGTCAAGATCACCATCTTGACTGTAGAGAATTTGGCAATTTAAGAGGGAGAGAAGTCTACGTAGTTACTTCTTTTCTTACTAAGGGGACTATTGAGAGTTCTGTGTGGAAGACCCTACACACATTCTGTCATTCTAATCAGCATTTCCAAGAACAAGAGAATACAGTGTAACAATAATAAAGAATAACTATATAGTGTCAATGATTCTATCACAAGCAGTGGCAAAATGTTATTGTATAACCAGTCACAAGAAGGAAATGGAGAGAACATCCTTCATTGGTCCCCTGAGAAAAGTCCCTGTTGCACAGAAGCCAAATTACTTAGTCAAGTGGGCAAACATTGGGGAGGAAGGAAAGCTGTTTAACTTACAGGAAAGAGTCACAAGAATAACTGACACCAAACTGTCTATGAGTTAATTTATGCTGAAAATTAGAAGGTTTTCTAACCATCAGAGAAGTAAGGCTGTAGAGCAGTCTCCCAGTATTCCTAGTGGGAGCAAATAACCTACATAGTTTTAAAATAGAGGTTGATGCATCTGAGAAAGGGATTGCATAATGGGTTTACCTACAGGGGCACAGGGCTGAGCTCAGTGGTACATGTGTTTCCTTAAATTTCATGGCTTCTTGACTTCAGCTGGTCACCTGCAGGGGGTCAGGATTAGAGATGTTAACTATTGTTTATTTGTGTAAATGTGTAACCTGAAATTTTTAGCAGTTACATGTTTACATGCAAGGGGGAGCAAGCAGGAGCCAGTGCTGAGGGGGTGCTGACTTTTTAGATGGCTCCCTGTGATTACTGGCTTCTACCTGCCTCCACCATCTCTGATAAAGAGGCAGCAGCACAGAGGGTGAGGGGGACAGGCAGGAGCTGATACATGTGGAGAGTCGTGTTGAAAACCACTTCCTGCATGTATCAGTACCTGCCTGTCCCCCATGCTGCTGCCTCTCTTCAGAGGCAGCCGGGCGGGGGGGAAGGCGGGTGGAGGGGGAGAGACAGGCTGCTCCATGGGAGCAGGTGCTTGTGGAAAGCGGTTTTTAAGCTGGCTCCGCCAGGCACTGGTTCCTGCCTGCTCCCCATGCTGCTATCTCTGTGGGAGAAGGAGGCAGTGTAGGCAGCTCCGCAGGAGGCAGCACTGTGGGCTAGTGCTCCAAGACAGATAATCCTTTCTCATATGTTTGGCTGGTGTGTCTTGCTCACATGCTGTGCATCAAACTGATAGCTATTTTGGGGATTAGGAAGGATTTTTTTCACCATATTAAATTGGCAGCAGCCATGGGCTTTTTTGCTTTGGTATAGGTTGGGGCTGCTTGTTAGGATTATCTGGGTATATTTTACCAAACCAATTCTCTTAAAAAACAGGGGGGCTTTGCATTGGTTCATTCAGTCCCTCCTGCTCTCTGTTTGTGGCACATAGGGTTGCCAGATGGTTTCAACAAAAATACCAGACACACTTGACATTACATCATAATCTACATTACATCATATTTAGAAAATACCAGACATTTATATTTTCTCAATGTTGTTTGTTTCCCAAACAAAAAGCTCAAATACTGGACTGTCTGATTCAAAACCAGACACTTGGCAATTCTAGTGGTACACTATAGTTTAATCTCCTGAGGGTCTTAATGTTTTAGGTGGTCTCAGTACAGGAATAACTGAATGGGATTTATGATCTCATGTGCAGACTACATGATCCGGTGATCCCTTCTGGCCTTACACTCTGACTCTGTAAGGTCACAAAAGAAATCTGGGGTATTGCTAGGAATAGGATCTAGTTCAATTTCTGTAAAATATGGAATAAGGAAGTGCTCTGACTCCGTCCCCTCCTCTCTAAGTGCTGAGCACCATCTAATTTCCATTGACTTCAACTGGTGCTCCATTTATATGCTTAGACATGAATTTAAGAGCCTTACTTTAAGCATCTGTTTTTTTTTCTCTTTCTTGTTAAATCTTGGTCCAGATCTCTTAATTCTTACTCTTATGATTTAGCCACAAGACCAACCTTCCTTCCTGTTGGGATTAATACAGGAAGAACACAGTCTGTTAGATAGGACATAACAAATGCAATGACCAATGCAGTATTAAGTGTGAAATTTCCTTGCAAGAATGTGGGCATAAGTGGAGCTGTTCATCAGTTTCTGCAATGTGATATTGTTTGGGAGAGATATGGGGGAGTGGGAAGGAGTTTCATCTGTGAGAGTTACCACCTGAATATTAATCAGTACCAGTCTTTCTGGATCAGCAAAGATGTTTGATTAAGGATGTTACATAGTACATATTATAGTGCCAACTTTTTAAACTAATTTTTGTGGTTTACAAAAAAGAGATGTTCCCAGGTAAGATTTACAGTGAACTTGTTTTGTATGTAATATATCACCTACAAAATTAATGGAGAACTAATATATTTTTTGTAGATGGTTGATGTAAGCATTCAAGATCTGAAAGAGCAGTTTGATCAAGAAATTAAAATAATGGCAAAGTAGGTACTAAGTCATGTAAATTTAACATAACTGTGGATACAGACTGCCTACATTTGAAGCGATCTCCTTCTTAGCATGCTGCCTTAGGGGTTCCTTGCTATACTTTTGCACAAAATAGTTCAGAAACTGTTAAGTGAAAACATTGCAAAGCTAATATGAATCTTTTCTCCTCAAGATAAAAATTTAGGTTTATGATTAACTCTATGTAGTTTAGTAATCCCATTGAGTTTGCAGGCTGTTAGCCAATGTGATATATTCCCAAAATGCCTTGCATTTAGGCTAAGTTGTAAAACTATGAACTGAATTCCTAGAATGCTTTGTAATCACACTAAGCCCGTGGTCCCCAACACGGTGCCCGTGGGCGCCATGGCGCCCACGGGGGCA